GTGTGAATGCGCCCTGAGGGCTTGTTCACACCAAATGCAGACCAGATCTGCATGAGTTTCTGCGAATATGTATATAATATTTTTTAGCCTAAAATGGGCTTTCAGTGCGTTCCAGGGTGTTATGTGGTTTTGATGTGTTTACATGCGTTCCAGAGCAGGAAAAATGGGGCTCGCTGCTGTTTTTTTACATGCTCTGGAACTGAACTATGCAGTGGGAACTAGAGCCCAAAATGCCATTGGAATACATTGGACGCAGTTTAGATCCGTTCTGTAACTGCTCTGCTCCTGGAACACGCTTGGTGTGAACGCGCTGGTCCTTAGGGCATGTTCACACCAAATGCAGACCAGATCTGCATGAGTTTCTGCACACCCAGTACAGTGGGTTGTGCTACGTTTTTGTCGCATTCCGTGCCGTTTTTGTTAAAAAAAAAAAGTGCTTGGTGTGAACTGGCCCTTAGTGTTTTGTGAAGTTGTATCACAAGGCTTTTTAAGAGACATTTAGAGGACAGTCCCATTCATCTTATTCCATTCTTCCTTTCTGTTAGGGGAACAATTCACTAGTATCCTTAGAAGGATCTGATGCCTGTACTATAGATCTTAAATCGCTTATGTATTATAGAATCTTCCTCATGAGCTTCTATAGCTCCCCTGCCTAAACCTGAAACCCCTCCAGTGTCTGCCAGGCTTTCTTTTTCCACTACTGGTTTTATTTCAAGTTGTGCAAAATTTAATAGAACATTCTACTTGCAGAAATTCCGAGGGCGCTTTTCTAAAACCTAGTTCTGACCATATGGGGCTATTATCTCCAAGAAACCTGTTGGCCCAATCATCATCTGACTCTGAACCTGATTCCTTATGGCAGGGGTGCCCATTAGGTAGATTGTGATCTACCAGTAGCTCTCAAAGCTGATGCTGGTAGATCAGGAAGGGTGTGAATGGCGGCCCCTTTATTCCATTCTGGTATATTTATTTAGCTGTGCACACATGATTATCAGCCAGAGTCTGCTGAGCCGAGCTCCCTGACACCATTCTGGTGGATACTGATGGTTGAAGTGCTATGTATTACATCAAAGAATATTAGTTTACACAGCCTGTTGCACTGCACTGTTTGCAAAATACAGCAATGTGAGCCAGGAGAGAGGGCAGGGAGAGACAGAGAGAGGAGAGACGGCCAGGGCAGAGAGAGTGAGGGAGGGTTTTTTTTCGTTGGTAGATCTCATGTACCTCGTCATTTTAAAAGTAGATCTTAACACAAAAATTGTGGGCACCCCTGCCTTATGGTCTGTTTCTATGGGGACTTCCTCCCATTTTGTCACAGGTTAACTTGCATAAACTTTCTATAAAGTTTTCTGGCTGATGGTCATAAAATAATGAGTTTCGTCCAAGATCGTGTGTGTGTTTTACCTACAGTGTGTGGGGAGCCTCTTGTAAGTCAAGGCACCAGTAGGGATCGCAGGCATTGATGTACCTTGCGTTCAATGGAGGCCGTGGCTGCGGTGCCATTCCCTTCAACGCACCCCCACGCCCCTTCCTGCTGCCACAAAAATCTGAAGCGGCCGCAATGCGATCCAGTGCGTTCCGGCCTCAATCGGGCCGTAACGCATTGAGGATGGTGTGAACGAGGCTTCAGAGCTTATTTACAGCAGATGCGTTGGTGCTGCGCTGGCCATTTTTTCAGTGCAGCCACAGCACACGACAAAGCTGGGCACAATTCACACCACTGCATTGTGGTGGTGTGCACTGAAGCCACATAAGCAGACTTTCCTTTTCAGGACAAGGTCCAGTTTAATTTTAGTAGAATAAAGTTTAGTCACCAGCCTAGCTCTCCTGCCTCCCAGGGCTGTGTTAACTCTCAGGACTGGATGGACAAATACAAATGCTTTGGCAAGGAAAACACTTTTCTTATATATGCATTTCAACTGTGTATTTAGTTGTTTGCCTGGAGTTCATCTTTTGATTGCAGATCCCCAGAACCACATTAACATGATTTCACATTTGTTTGCGTTGGGAAGAACTGATAGGGTAGCTGTAGCAGGCTACATGCATGTTCTCTTTTGACCGGCGTGTCTTTTAGTCCAAATGGGAAATTTGTAATTGGCTCTAGTTACTTAAAGAAGAACTTGCAGCAGAAATAGTGCTAACTTTTGCAGTAGGGCTACCCCCACACTGCCAGGGTTAACTGCTCGTTTTTGCCTAGGGTAAAAAAAAATTGTACTGAGTACGGCTGGCTCGTAGACTGGGTCCCTTTTTTAGCATCTCTTCTCTCCCCCCGCTGCAGTGGTCTAGGAGTCCTTGAATCACCACGTCCGTAAGGACACTGAGGGACATGCCATCTTTGCAGTGGAGGAGACAGGCTGGGGGGAGTGCTCCCAGCTCGGAGGATCTGGTGATCATAAATTTTTTTTTAAATTTGTTTTTACCCTAAGCAACAACGAGCAGTTAACACTTGCAGAGGGGTTGCCCTACTGGAAGTGTTAATACAATGTCTGCCCAGAGTTCTTTTAACAGTGGTGTACAGTGCTTAGAGTATTTCTATTAACTTTTTTTTTTTTTCTTTTTTTTCTTTTTGAGAGTAAAATCTAATATTTTGTTGTAAAGGGATTAACATTTTTTTTACACAACTAGCACTTTCTGCTGTGTTGCTGTGGAATGCTGCCACTTGGTTTACAATGTGTCAGCACTATGTGCTCCACCCTTACTTTCCTTTCTCGCTCAGGAAATGAGCATTGCAGGAACTAGGAAATACTTTTGCAGTATTCTCATATTGATTCATTCTAGCTGACAATTCTTGTGCAGGCAGAGCAGATTTCGTGTGCATTAGAGAGATATATGCAAAGAGAAAAAACAGATTCAGGAAAACTTAAGTTCCAACTCAGACAATAAATCTTGTTTCCCAAATGCAGTTTTACTTGAGGTGGAACTCCAGTCAAATTATTTTTCTTTTACCTATGGATAGTGTGGGGAGGAGATAAAACATCAGTCAAGTTCGTTCTGTGTCCTTGATGGGGACAGTTACTGTAGTCTATTGTAAATGTGATAGAAGTGACAGGAAGTCCAAAATAGGGCTTGCCCTATTTTTTGCGTTTTGCAGTTAAACGGAACGCTGGCAAAGTTTTGCCACGCGTTCGATGGCACTGTGGGGGGTTGGGGGCGTGGAAGCAGTGCCATTGAATACAATGCCACGCCCTGTCCCGCCCCCAAAATGCAGGGTCAAGTTTCACAGCGATCACGGTGCGTTCCAGCAGCTACCACCCTGGAACGCACACGCTTTCGATGTGAACAAGCCCTTAGTGAAATAAACAAATGTGCACAATATAACTGTTCCAACTAATGCAAATTCACTAAAAAATAAGTTCAACACTAATTTAGTTCATGTGCATCTTCCATGAAAAACTATCTACTCCACTCGATAATAAATCAATAATTGTAGACCGAGCTTTACACTGTTTTTTCTTAATCGCCCGAAGTACCACATCAATACAAGATAATTGGTGTATTAATTCCTCCGGTATTCTATTAACAAAATGAACACTCACCAGAAAGTTCTGACCATATATTTAAATGGTCAAAGTACGCATGTGGTGAGCGTAGGAATATTTTATCCTCCATCTCCTTTTTTTTTTCCTCTCGATTACATAGACTATTTTCCTTGGATCTCCATATTCATATCATGCCCTCACAAGGCCTTAATGGATGACTTTGTTCCTGAGGAGCCTCGGTAAGCTGAATTAGCTCCCAGGTTAAAAGGGACCACATAGACTTATTAACGTACAGGTCACTTTTTTTAATAGAGCAGCCCGTGCCAGTCTGGTCTCGGGTCTGTTTTGTAGCCCCTAATTGATGTTCAGAGCCATCCTGTCTCTGAGAAATAGATCTATGCAAATTTAAGTGTTATAATCCACACCCACTCTGACACCCACTCTGGCACTCCTAAACGCCACCTGTGATTACATCACATTTCTTATTACCACTTTCATTAGTATGCTAAAGCCAACTGCAATGCCTTTATGATTAAGAACTCCTTTGTGTCTCCAAGAGTAGGTGTGATGGTGGTTGGCTACTGGCATAGCAACAGCGTTGTCTCCCTTAAGCTCAGGTTGCTTTGACATGTTAAAACCACCAACTGACTGTACAAATGGTGAATTTAAAATATCAAAGCAACCTGACCTTAAGGAGACAACGCTGTTGCTATGCCAGTAGCCAACCACCATCACACCTACTCTTGGAGACACAAAGGAGTTCTTAATCATAAGGCATTGCAGTTGGCTTTAGCATACTAATGAAAGTGGTAATTCGAAATTTTTTTATTATACTAATCCCAGAGAAGATGCAGACCTCCACTTACAATTCACACCCTGGATGGCATAAACACAGCCTGTTGTCTAGTTATAGTTATACATTTCTCTACACTGGTTCTCACATCTTATATTATGAAATATGTAATTCTTTATTGGTCATTGGAATGGGGATTGCAGTAGAGGTAAGCATCAGTGGGTTTGGGGGCCTAAATGGGTAAAAGTGACAATTGTTTTTGTTTTTTTATACGCAAAGGGGGCACCACCAATTGCAGAGCATGGTAATGTGTGGGATGACATTCACAACTAATGACACCATTTGCGCAGTACACCCACAATGCTGCATATCGCAAAGCGCATGCTTTGTGTTGTGTGCTACACTGATTTTTAAAAAAGTGATATGCTTGAAATTGCAACTGCTGCCATTTTATTTTACTGGGTCTTGACTTTCAGAAATATATATCATGTTTGGGGGTTTGAAGTGATTTTCAGGCCTAAAATGTGTATTATAACATGGGTGCAAAAAACGAAAAAGGGCCTTGGCAGCGAAATGGTCCTGAAGGGGTTAAAGTGGCACAAATGATGTCGGTTTTATTTCAATTGCATAAAATACTGCTGAAGTACTAATGCCAATTTTAAGCTTAAAACATGCATAAAGCAATTGTATATAAAAAATATATATATATTTTTGGTCTTTCTTTCCAGTGGGCCCTTTAAGAATTGAGTTTTCAATATCCATCAGTCTAGATGAAGTGATGAAGACTAACCCATATGTTAAGGAAGGCGGTCTATACAAACCAAAGGACTGCAAGTCACTGCAGAAAATAGCACTCATTATTCCATTCAGAAAACGTGATGAACATCTGAAATATTGGTTATATTACCTGCACCCTATTTTACAAAGACAGCAACTTGACTATGGTGTTTATGTGATAAATCAGGTAAGCATCGTACTTTTCTCTTACTCCGAAGATTGTAATAGACAATTGCGTTTCATTTTTTTCAAAACATACATTTTATACGTAGAACTTTTAACTACCTGGAAAAAAAATGGCTAAATTAGGGGCAATTTCTAATTTTGAGGAGCTAAGGTTCATGGAATGGGAAAAACTTGGTTAAACCCATATCCCTGTCAATTCATGTATTACCAGTGTAAACTGCAACTGAACTTTAATAATTCTTGAACTGTAGGGCAAATACCGTGTTTCCCCGAAAATAAGACAGTGTCTTATATTTTTTTTCTACGAAAAAAGACACTAGGTCTTATTTTCGGGGGATGTCTTACCTGGCTTGGCTGCAGCTGTCCGCTCTGCCGTCCAGGGAGCCACAGACAAGTGTGCGGGGGGGCGTGCAGGGCGGGAGGGAGCTGCGGCTAGCGCTCTGATGCAGTCCAGGGAGCCGCAACAGTACATAGACTACGTAGAAACCATTAAAGTACACTTTATGACCGTTCTCACGGTCATAAAGTGTACTTTAATGCTCAAGTAATAGTATATCTCAATTGCTGAATTTCAAACCACACAGGATTCCAGAATTATTATACTAAATTAAAGATTACACTATGTGTTAACACTTAAATGTATGCTCTAAATGTTACCCTTTTTTGATTTTTGTGCCATAGATGTATGTGTGATGCTGTAGTCGCTAACAAAATACTGTCATTGCTATTGTATGCTTGCGGTGTGCACTTAATCTTAAAAACCGGTAGTGCTAATTATAGCTTAATTATTCTGACACCATAGTTGCTCATACATCTCCTTTTTAAGATGAGGTTAAAAAAAGCAATCATGTTATTTGTAGCTTTGCTGTTCTGGTTTTTACCTTTTTTTTTTTTTTTTTTTTTTTTTTTTTTTTATTCTTAAATTATGGTTATTTTATTAAATATTGCTTTAGGTTGCCAAACTAGGAAATGGACACTTGGTAATGTGGACAGGTGTTTAGGCTTTTAACATTGTGAGAAAGCATTGTTAATTAGCACTAGGCCTGTGAAAACATGTATAGTTATGTGGTACCAAGTCAGTGGCTTAGGGGACACACTAATAAAAAATAAAAAAGGATTGGTTGCGGTGTGTTTCCATTCTTCTAGTTTCTTTCTTATTAACCTTTTGTGTGTTCCCTTATGTACATTTCACAAGGGTTGCCTCCCTCATCCAGTTGACTGCCATACATTTACATAATATGAAAATTAAGATGTCCTTTTTTTTTTTTTCCTGTACAATTTCACAGCATCTCTTTCTGTGTGTAGTGGGTGGAATTAAGTGATTGTTAATTTCAGTTAAAGGGTCTCATGTGATCTGAAAAAAGCAACAGTTTGGCACGATTGATCTTTATATATAGTTTGCTGGTGGTAATAAAGAGCAAGCAAACAGCGTTTGACACTGACACATTTTCGGGGTTACCTTTTTCTGCATGCTACCAGCCGGGTAAGACATTAGGGATCTAATAGACTCCTGATGTCTTCATAACGTGTACCTGTTACCTACCCAATGCTGTCATGTAGCGGGGCTCATTAGTCCCCTTACGATAACAGTAAAGCAAAGTGAAAACAAAATAAAGGTGTTTAGAAATGTAACAAAAGCAAAAATAAAATAAACAATAGTCCTGTTGCCCTGTGCACACATATAAAAATGTAAAAAGATGTGTATAGTGTGCACCAGCATTTGTAAACTATTGCCCCACACACATTTGCCATCTCCAGGTATGCTGGTGTGAGAAAAATATTTCTAGTTTTACTTTATTTACGGTTAACCCTAAACTGATGGTGTGTAAAGGCAACCGTTTTTGGTCTTGACATATTTAGTATTTATTTATTCAACATTTAATCTTTTTTTTTTTTTTTTTTTTTTAAAAAAAAAAAAAAATGTTGGGTATTGTTGTGTTTGTGTGCACCAAATACAATGCATGCAACATAATTAACCACCTCCCATCCGCCGAGTGTTCAGAAACGGCCGGACGGGAGCCTTCTGGCAGTGTGTGGCCCTCTTTAAACGTCCTTCATGGCCCCCTGGTGCGTACGAGTGGGAAACTGCCACAATTTAAAACAGCCGGCTGTTTACATACAAGCGGTCCAGCGTCTGTAAAGACGCCTGATCGCTTGTATGATGCACCTCTCCGTGCACTCCCCCCCTCATCTCCTTACCTCTCCTCGCCGTCCTGCCATTGCCGCGATCCCGGGCGCCCGTGTGGCTACGTGGACGGAAAACGGAGGGAGACCAGTACATGATCTCCGCTCTGTTCCCCCCGAATGCAGGAAGTGATGTCTATTATCTCCTCTGCATTCAGCTGTCACTCTCTGGCTACAGAAGCCAGGGAGAAGCTCGTGAAGCAGATGCTTCATTAGCTTCTTTGGGGGTCCCTAGGTGACAGGGGTCATAGAAACCACTGATCTCTCCATAAAGAGGACCTGTCACTGTAATTTGATATCTTAGTCCCCTATGTGATAAAGTTGTGTAAAGAAAAGTTTAAAAAAAAATTTAGACCTCACTCACACAGCTAAGAGCCGGCCCGTATAGATCCGTGCGGCGTGTACGGCCGTATCTGGCCGCTTCCTTAAAGGACAGGTGTGCATGTGATTGTACGCAGCAGCCTGTTCTCTATTGGAGTCTGCGGCCGTACGCTCACTCTAACTGCACATCCGCGTGGGTGTCAGTGCTCAAATGCACACCGGATCCATCCTGTCTGCGTGCAAGTACGGACACCCGTCCAGATGTGCAGCTCGGGTGAGCGTACGGCCGCGTATAACATATATTTCAGTACAGCGTTGCATGACGGAATAAATGTCCGTCAGAGTACCGCAGCGCTGAATCCTGAAAAATGGCCTGGCCAGGAAGGGGGTGTAAACACCTGCTCTTTAAGTGGTTAAAAATTTAATTTATTGCTTCAGCAGCAATATGATTAAATAGCTGAACCTACTGGGTTCCTCCCACAGAACAGGCTATGTACTGCACAGTCATGATGTCACTACTGGTTTTATATAGTAATATCTGGGTTTACGTCGGTGTTTAGAGCACACAAAGTGGATTTGTATCTTCTGTGCCTATTCTGAAATATATTTAAGTGACTTTTTGTCCCTGGGGAACAGCTTTAACCTCTCCCCTTAATTGGCAAACTGAAAGGAAGAAAAAAAGTGCTATTTAAAAAGTGACCGAAAAGGAGACAAAACAGAGAGGAAACACTTGTTACAAAAACATTCACTCCGCAGTAGTGATAAGTGAACTCACTTGGGTTGGGTACACTTGGACATTCTCCGAATCCAGCCAGAATTCCAGGTATGCCAAACATCCAAGTGAACCGATCCCAGGTCCTAGAAACCTATGGAGCTGTGACCCGCAAAGCATAATTCATTGTGAGGATGTTTGTGGCAGGGTCGCACAGCCTCGTTGGTTGCTAGGACACTAGCTGCCCCACAACATCCATAGGTGGTTGTGGCATGCCCGCCTGTGTCCTATCAACCATGACTCTGTGCGACTTAGCCACCAGTCAGCCAATGACACAGTGGCACCTGCAAAGTGTAATTGGTTTCTAGGACAAGATGGAGGTTCAGCAGGCATGCAAACTGGCCAAATCCTTTGGCGAGCTGCGAAAAGCTTGAGTTCCGGTCAAACAACTGGTCAACCTGACCCAACAGCTGTTCCTTACTCCGCAGTCATGCTCAAATCGAAGCACAACTCCAGTTTGTTTTAACGCATCTGTTCCAATTCAATCGGTTTTTAGTTCACAATCCAGCTGTGAGCAATCTCAATGTGAGTTAAGCAGCTTAATATATGATGTATGGCTGATGTGCTTTACAAATGTAGTAATCCAAAGCCAGCAAAGGGCAGTGAAAATGAACTAGTTCTGCTACATCCTCCTCTAGTGATGGCGATACTGATGCACAAACAAGCAACATTCTTAACCTTCTCTTGGAGCACAATTTAATTGATACCTGGAGAGATCGCCATCCAAGAGCGGGATTATACTTGCTTCTCGGCCCCTCGCATTCCTTTGTTTACCAATCTTTTCTCTAGGAACACGCAAAACTCAAAATGTTGTACATAGTGGGTTCAGATCACTCTCCACTTTTGCTCCAGTGCAATATATTAGTCCCTGCCCTGGTGCACTATACTTGGCATGTTAAAGAGAGCAGAAAGTCGTTTTAAGAAGCAACCTAAAATACATACCTCCCATTACTAATTACTTCTGAGAAAATTTCTGAGAAAATTTGGGTTCTGTCCCCTATTACAGGCACCCCAAAAGGCAACCTTAATGGGGGGCATTCAGCTAGCAACACATAAAAAAATTTGAGAGGGACTCTAAAATCTCTTTTGCTTCGAGCAACTGGAAACCCAGTTTAAAGCCATTCCCCTCCTTGTCCCTACGTAAACATACTGAGGCAGTCAGGATGAAACGCAATCTACTTTAATATAAACATCTGATGTCCTCCTGATCCAACTTTCCCGTTTCTTGAAATGGGAAAATTATTGCCATTTTAAGATGACTGTTTTACCAAACTTTCTTTGTTTCGCACCCTTCCAAGCCCATTCCCGTCCTATGCTCTTCAGTTGTTTTGGATTAGTTTAAGGACATGTGTGGTATAATAAGAGACTGAGAAGGACTAGGCACTATGTTTATCCATAAACACCAGGGGGGCTTGTGAGTTCCTAATTTCCATGAATAATATGTGGCTGTCTAGATTGTCCCACTTACCTTCCTATTCACCTCTGCATAAGCTCCCCTGTGCGTAAATCTGGAAGCTTATTGTTCTCCAGTTGCTCCGTGGGCCCTCCCTTGGCTCCCTTCCCTATCAAGGCCTCAGTCTATAAGCCCTCTGAGGCATAATTTGACTGTGTGGAACATCTCCAAGTGGGAAAGAGATGTTAAAAGCACCAAATCTGTGGAGGATTGGCAACAAATCTGGTCCTCAGCTGCCTCCTGTTCCATTAATGTGACAACATCTGAAATG